AATAAAATCAAGATTTTATATAGAAAGAACCAAGATTTTATATAGAAGAAATCTATTTCTTGCTATCCATTATTATTTTTAATATATATACAGTATTTTGCACTGCTTCTGTTATTGATTATGTTATAATGCTTTTGTGTCATTCAATGTATATGTGTTTTGTTGGAAGCCGCCCAGAGTGGTAGAATATACCAGATGGGCGGGATATAAATCAAATAAATAAATATATGAAATAGAAGGTTTTTATAATGGACACAAATTTTTACATAAGACACAAATCTGAGTCTCTCCAGAAATATGTAAATTAGGGGCACTGTGAGAACAATCAGATATTCTTACATGGATTTTGACACTACAGTATTTGTTTCAACATCATATACTGAATGTCAGTAATTGAAGATGGCCCAGATATAACATTAGGTTTATGTACTATGAATAGAATTGTCCAACAGCCAAAAAGAGCTTCTCCATTAGGCTGTTATACACAAAGGAATTTTAAAAACTCTCTACTATAACCTTTTAAACATTCTGTATAAATTAACTATTTTACTAATATGAAATTATCTTAACTATTTCTCTATTTTAAACCATTAATATAATAATGTTATTTAATAACTACTTAAAAGATTTAATGTTTGTTAAAAAGAAAAACATTTCTGAGTTCTACAGACAATCCTGAGAAGTATACTATTTCTGCAAACTAAAATTAAAAATGCTGAATTGTCAAAGCTTGAAAAAGATGTATTATTATTACTATCACACCAATTCTATTCCCAACCCAGTTTAAGAATTTAAATGTAAAATCTTCAGGACACTGTTTATAATTTTAATTATTTCATAAGGTTACTGACAGTTTCTAATATAAGATTCATATAGGCATGGAGCTTTGTGAAAGACTGTTGGAATCTTTCAAACAATATTGTTTTATTTTCCTAAATCCAACTTAATTTTTTTCCCATTTTTTTTATATATATACACATATCCAAACATAGACATATATATACACACATATGCCTAAAACTCTATCTACAAACGATACATACTGTAGAGCTTAGCCTACAAGCCTTTTGTATAATAATACATTTCTTTCAGCAGTGTCTTCTCCTTATTATTCCTTTTGGTCATTTTCTATTTATTACAAAGTTTTTGCTTTCCACCATTCGTAGAACATATTCCAGCTTTCATAGTAAGTTGACTTTTCTTGCCCTTTTAGTCTCTTTGTAAGTCTATCCATTTCAGCGCACTCTAATATTTTTTTGATAATCACTTCGTCTTTTGGTGGGTCTCCCTCCTTCCATACTTGTGCCCATGCTAATCTAGCAGCTTAATTTTTGTCAGCATACATACATTACATGTGTCCATGTAATGACAAACCAGCGAAATAACTTTTTTGGAAAAAAGAGACAAGCCAGAATGTTCGGTTTGGATGCCAGGTTAATTAAACCATGAAATGGGTCTCTGCATTGCACAGCTGCTCCTGCTGACCACTAGTGGCAAGGCCTCATCCAAAACAACCCAGAATTCCAAACAATTCTGCATGCATATATAATAAACAGAATTGCAGGTTAAAATGACATCTGACTGACTGCTTTGGATAACATAGTCCCAGAACAGGCAGTGATAACAAGAAGCAACAGAAACACAGATCCAAAATACTCTAAATGCATATGCCAAACACTTCTGTTAGCCTTAAATCTATTTTTAGCGTGCAGAGTGGCAGTGTGTTTGTATATGTGTGGTTTGGGGAAAGAGTCTCTTTCTTCCCCTCTTCTCACTAGTAGCAACCTCTGCAGCTGGAACAGTTTTGCCTCCACCCTTGCTGGGTTACTCATCAAATCTCCCCACTGGTTCAATGAACCTACTCTACTTGTGATTTGCTACGCTAAGCAACAAGATTTTAACCAAAGTTGTGAGGAAGCCGGCACAGATGCCCCAGACTGGCTGTGTAGTCCTGGCCCAGGACCCTAAGAAGATGCTGTATCCAATTTATTAGAGGAGATTGTGCAAAGCAAACCTAAGCTATAGAGAACACAGTGACACAAACAGAGGCTGTCCCACGGGAGGCAAGGAAAAAGACTTTGATGTTTACATATGCTAACGGCTATAATGGTTAAAGCTAAACTTTTTGGAAATGCCACCTTTATCATTCTACTCTCTGCATTTTTGTACTCCCCGACTGTGCCTCTTAAGGCCATATATTTTAAAAATGTAATTATATCATTCTCCTTGGTATTTTCTATGGTACTTTTATGCTCCTGTATTTTGAAACTTTTTCAACCATGACTTAAGTATATTGTCTACAATTTAAGCTTAGTCTTTATATATATTTTAAGCATTTGTGCCTGCAGCTTTTTTCATAGCTTTAAGACTCTGGAATTCTTGTTGAAATTACCCAACATTCACAATTAGCATGCTGGTACAATGTGTAACATGGGGAAGCACATGGACATGGATTTCTAAAACTGGCTGGAATCAAACTGGTGGCAGAGAAGGGGACAGGTAGTAATGAACAAAACTAGAGCTGTAGTGTAGTACTACAATAGGAAAAATACTGCAACAATGTGATTATCATTCAGCAAAAATGGATAAAGAAGGAGAGATAGTAAGAGAACTGGAAGAAGATGAGGAAAAGGAGACAAAGGGTAAACAGCATACATTGTAGTAGCCCCTAATTAGACCTGAAAGCATCAGTGTTGGTGATAAAGGACTAAAGCTATCTTATTGTCTGTAAAATCAGATATCAACGGAATTCTGTATTTGAGTCCTAATGACCAATCAAAACAAAAGCAAATGTTCTACAAGTCGTTCACCTGTCTTTCACCCAAGTAAAAAACATGTAACATTAATTTCTAAGGAGAGTCAAATCTCAATGGTCAGACAACAAAGCCAAGACTCTTTCATAAATTAAAAAAAAAGATTAGATAAACAGGAACTGCAAGCATAAATTGAAAATAAGGTGACTCAAATGGAAGAACTCACCAATAATATATCATTAAATACTTACAAAAAGCTTATTTTTGGCTGCCGCCACAATTATGGCTCCATTAGATGACCAGGAACAACACTTTACTAACAATTCTCCATCAGTCTGATAATCTTCCACATTTCTGAAGAAGTCACCTATGTCAATAGTTTTTAGTTCGTTTGCTGACTGTACATGCCAAAGCTTTAGAAACAAACAAAGAAAATTAAGCCTTTAAAAATGAATGTAGTGGAAAACAAAATTAATGCTAACCAATAATTTAGAAAATTTTGCTTTGTATAGATATTTGTGCATAGTCAAATATAGTAGCAAACAGTCTCTCCAATGACCTATAGACATCACAGCCAAACATCTGTTTTAGCACACTGGAAACTTGCAACACATTTAAATCAAGCAACCAAGTTCATGCCAGCTGATTTCCTTTCTAGCTTATCCGGACTGATTTATCTTTAAAATTTTGCCTGTTGAAGAACACTTTCATTTATTTCAATAAAACATTTTTGTCTGCGCCTAACTAATGGTTATCAGTAGGGAAAGGTTTTCTTATAAACATGTTCAAACCCACCTATAAGCTCAAACACAGGCTGCAGAAAAAATACGACATGTCATAGAAGTTCTCTTCCCACCCCCATATCAGTAAAGCAATGATCATTATGATAGGCACAAGGAAGACAGCTGGTTAAAGACAAGGTGGCTTTGGAGGGTATAATGTAATTTTGTGTAATGATACTTTGGAATTCCTCTCAAGCATCCTAGAGCATCTAGGTAGAAGGACAGACTGTTTTCCTGTAACTGTGTTCTGAAGTGTTGTGCTTTCATCTCCTTCCACTGGGAAGAATAGTAACCAAAGTATCCGGTTCTTAAAATCATCAAGTCTGCCCCATCTACAAAGTCTCATCCTGAAGTTCTGCTTCTTGTTTCCATACAAGTGGAAGAAAATATCAGCACACTAGCTTTCAGATACAGATATTAAAACTATGTTACCAAAACATGCTACTTTTCTTTATTGCCAATAATGATTTTGTCTTTTTACGTACCTGAAATATTTACAAATAATGATGGCATTTATACTTTTCAACTTTTTCAACCCTTATAACAGGACACCAAGGCTCTGTTCTACAGTATTTAATTAAAGAGGATGAACTTCTAACGTCTTTGAGCATCACAAAGCCTAATAATTCATCTCAGCTTAGAGATATTCGTTGTGTTAATAAGTCTTAGAGTAATACAAAGCAGGACACACAGGAGAAAAGCGTTCTGGAGTTCTACATGGATAGCCACGCGTGTTAGACTAGATTGCAGTCCTGGAGAAGGTTTATCTGTTAGCCTAACCTGGCAGGTGACAAATGTCAAACATACGTAGCAGAGCTATGCTGATGCCTACACGACTGTACATTGTGAAGAAAGAAAATTGTTTGCAATGTTAAGTGGAAACATGCTTCACTGTGCAAAAAAGAAACCAGAGGCACAGTACAGGATTATAACCTTTGCTTTGAAAAGCTTTGAAATTACAGGACAGAGTGCTACAAGATCAAATGTCTTTAGATACTTCAATTCAGAATCTCAAACAATACCTTTAAAGTTCCATCTGCTGAACAGCTAGCCACATATTTATCATCTGGTGAAAATCTGCAGTGAGTAACAGAATTCCTGTGGCCAAACAATGTATTACGACAGTATTTCTTGTTCACATCCCAGAGCTGCATTTTAAAAATTACAGAAGGAAATGGAAAAAAAAAACATTTATAAGTTTCTGTATTAAACAGCTTAATTTGATATTTGCTCACAGAATAGTACAGGAAATACCAAAGTAACAAAATAAATATTTACGCTTTGCAAATTTCACTACAACCAGTTTTCTCTGATAAAATCATATTTACTATGTGTTCTATACAGTTTTAGAGCACACAAAGAAATAGAGGGCCAACTCCTGTTCTTAGATGTCATGGTCATATGCAAAACTGACCTCCGATTGGGACACAAGGTCTACAGAAAACCCACCCACACAGACAGGTACCTACACAAAAACCAACCACCACCCGCAGCAAAAAAGAGGCATAATCAAAACACTGGTAGACCGTGCAAATCGGAACCATGAAGCGCAGTTCCTCAGCACTGAACTCAACCATCTGAATTAGGCCCTACAGGCAAATGGCTACTCCAAAAATGAGATCACAAGAGCCATCAAACCAAGAAAACAACACCAAACTGAAGAAGAAAAACAGCCACCCACAAATAAAGTATTACTGCCACATATCAAACGGGTTATGGACCACATAGGGAAAATTTTGAAAAAACACAACCTACAAACAGTATTCAAGCCCATCACAAAAATACAACAAATGTTACGGTCAGCAAAGGACAGAAGGGACCCCCTCACCATTGCAAGAGTATAGCGGATACCTTGCAGTTGTGGCCAAGTATATATTGGAACCACAAAACGAAGCATCCACACCAGAATCAAAGAACATGAGAGACAATGCAGACTAAATCAACAAGAAAAATCGGCAGTAGCTGAACGTGCCCTAAAACAAGCTGGACATGAAATTCTATTTCAAAATACTGAAATACTGGACAACACCAGCAATCACTACGTTAGACTGCACAAGGAAGCCATTGAAATCCACAAACAGCAGAACTTCAACAAAAAGGAAGAAAGTTTGAAACTCAACAAAACTTGGCTCCCAGCACTGAAAAATAGTGTGCAAAAGGTCAACGAACTCTACCCAGCCACAAGGACCGGTGATCACTACACACGAAAGACCAGCTAATGACACCCATCAATCACAGTGACAGATAATCTCTCCTCCTTATCATAACAATACACCCACAACAAAATCACACTGACCACCATAATCACCCATCTCCTGAAAAGGACAAAAGCGGATATAACAGCCATAAATACTCAACTCCCAAACAAACTGCACCAAAGCACAGAGTGCTCTCCTCTGAAGATGCCGGCCACAGAGACTGGCGAAACGTTAGGAAGAACAACCTTCAGAACACTGCCAAAGAGCCCAAAAAACCCACAACAACCAACACAATTTTTTGCTTGGTAAAATGAAGCTACACTCCTTATTTGTGGTGCCAATTTTTCTTCCCTTAAATTTTTATCCTTAGAGTACAGCACGTATAGCAGCATCAATAACAACTGCAGCAGCTTTAAAAAAAAGATATTCCAGAACTGTAGTTATCTCTGCTGACAGGAGAGGAAGCACTGTGTGTTTTCCCCAAAGCCCAGCCAGCATGAACTAAGTAGAAACTGCTGAAATAAATGGCAAAAGGGCAAAGAAAAACAAGGAAGTCAGGAATATAAACATCCATATGGATTTTTTAAAAAATATTTATATCTCAGCATGTTCTGCTGGTAGAATCCCTCAAGGCTAACAACAAAAAACAAATATCCTCCCCCACAAAAAAAAGCAATTTTTTTAAAAAAATCATCAACATTTTAAAACAGTGAAAACGAATATGGAAATCAAACTTCAGAGAGCCTCAAGAGAGACCTTTAAAAGTGCCGCCACTAAACAATGCTCTTCTAACCTCTCACTAGAAGTTAGAAAGTCAGAATTTCAGACCATGTTGGTACTATACATTAGACACGCACTTGGTTCAGCACAAAGTGAATGAGGAGGATAAACCAAAGTGAGCCTCAGGCTCATGCATACGATACTCATCTCCTCCCCTTGAAAACAGAAGGAGGAGGAAAGAAACTTCCACTTTTGCTTATCTGCATTTTGTCATGACACTCAAATGAAATGATGGTGGTTGACATCAACTAAGGCTAGTTTCACACAAGCAACTATTAAACAGTTATTGAAGATGGCTTAGCTAAAATAAGCATAGTTAAGATTAATCATAGTTAAGATTAAAATTTATGCTCTCAGAAACCACAGCAGTGGTTAAATAAAAACAGGAACTTCTGAATTCCTCCTCCTAGAGGACATAGGAGATGGAAAGAGCAAGATGTGCAAGCTCAAAACTTCTTGCACCTTTTTCTTAGTCATTCACACTGTGCTAAACTATTGTTTAGCATGACAAGCAAACATAGTGCAAGTGTACTCAGGCAAAATATCCATAGTCTGAAAAAGCTCTTGCTTCCACTGCTGAGAAACATAACTGGGATGCCCTCTCCTGACTGCAAATGGGAGGAGGACATTAAACAGGGTCTCCTTTGACAGTTAGTGAATGCAGGTAAGCAGCAATCTTTTAAGTATCCAAGCCATTCAATGGAAAAACATTCATGACAAGCAGAATCCATAGAAACATTCACAACTGGATTCATAATTAACAATCACAGCATCAAAGTAAGAAAGAATGCTAGTTATCTTCTACAGAATAGGCAAAACAGAACAGACATGGACATATGAAAGTCCTAATTCCCTTTCTCATTTAGCAAGAGAGTCCAGACACAGAACTCATGTGGCCCTCCAGTGGCTAACACTATAAGAACAGCTGGACTATAGAGGCCAGATTCATAGACTGCAGTAAAGTTTCCATGAATGTTCTGATTAATGTGAAATAATCAATCCTATTTGCCATCATTGTAAAATTAGTATTAGCATTAATATCGACTCACCCTTTTCTACTTACTTTGACAAACCTGTCATTTGAACACGTGACTAAGAGAAATTGGTGACTACTTGTTTTGTTAAACTGGCAGCAGTTGACCTCTTCTACATGTTCTTCAAATAAGCACACAAGTTGACCTGTTCTTGAATTCCAGATCTAAAAAACAATTTTATACAACCATCAAAATATTAAAAAATTTTCTAATACATATGAAAACTTTTTTGGAAACTAACAATGCTTTCTGAAAAAGAAGTTTTAGACTGAACTCAAACATCCAACAAATTTTCTGTGACCCTTACGATTTTCTATGGTGGAAATTACTTGAAATGGTGATCTGGAATAAGCAGCTTAGTGATTTGTGTAACCAAGAACTATAGAAAATAGGAGGAAGAACAGATCATGTCTGATTAATCTGATATCTTGCATCTTATAAGAGAAGTGGCCTTATAGACAATGGAGATGAAGGGACCCTATGTGGACTTTGAAAAAGGACTCACTATGGTACAGAATCACACAAAATATTACAACAAAAATTGCAAACAGTAGAGATTAGCTTCAACGTAGTCAGATTGGATGACCAACAGTAGAGCATCTGCTTTGCAAGAAGAAAGTTCAAGATCCGTTTCCTAGCATATCCATCTCTAATTCAGACAGACTACAGCAGAGACCTCCAAGTCAGACGTTGCAGGACAACTGTGAACAAAAGCTGACAATACTGTAGTAGACAGGTAAACAGTTTGCTCCTGTTGGCAAAGTACTCAGTAACTGAAAATATTATAAAGAATGTAGTAAAAGGGAAACTTTAGTTGGGGGAAAAACACCAAGTACCCAAGGGGTATGTCCTGGGGTCTACCTTTTTGTCTTTTTTTGAAGAGTCATGAGAGAAATGTAGGAGTACGTAGCTATAACATTCAAGTAAATTAAAAAGCATAACTAAAGCAATATATTGAAATACTAACTGAATTACTTCTTATCTTACTATAGAAAATCACATACCTGGGAACAAAAGATTTTTTTGCTACTGAATAGAGGCTGATCTGTTGGATACAACTGTGGTGGCTTTAAGCAAAAGGGATCTGAATTCAAAGATTGGGGCAGCCATGAAACTCAGTGAGTGTCCTTTGATCACTACTGCACTGTCTAACTGACAGCATGGGGTTCTTGTAAGGATAAAGTGGGGTTGGTGTGTAAACAGCCACGTATCTTCCCTTGACTTCCTTAGAGGAAAGGTAGGACTAAATGTACAAGATAGAGAGAGAGAAAAGAAGGTGCTACAAGCACACAACTGATAATGGAATCAATACTGAAGAAAACCAAGATGCACCTAAATAATTTTACCAGCAAACATGATGTCTGTACTATTTAGTTCTTCTTATAATTTTTAATGAGTAAAATGAACGATCTCAAACACAGATATTTAAGAAGCCACATTTTTTTTATCCTTCCATTGCAAATACCAACAATTTATTCATACTGACTGCTTCCTATCCTTCCTAACCACAGGGTGACTACACTTCCAGTAGAAATACTACCCAGTTTATTCAAGACTCTGCTTAAAGATTTTGTCAAAATGCTCAGTTGCATGCTTGGTTGATGCTTCTATTAAGCTGTCCACCACAACTACAAGATTCCTTTCCTGGTCAATCACTACTAGGTTAGATTGTAAGACAGCTGGAAAATGAAGAATATCACATAATATTTCAGTAAGGATAATGAAAGGCTTCAGTTCCTTTTCATACATTATACAAGCTTCTTGCTTATTATGGGAATCAGGAACTGATGCAGTCAGAGACTAGTTATTTGGTGTGAGGAAGTTGGACTTAGTTAATCTTTTGGAATTACTTTATGAAAGTTTAGAAAGAAGTAACTATGTCAGTCTATCCCAACATGTTGACAAAATTAAAAGGAACAAATTTTTATTTTATTTATTTATTTATTGTATTTGTACTCCACCTATCTAGTCGTTTCGACCACTCTAGGCAGCTAAGTGGGGCAGAGAGACCAAGGACAAAATATGGCAGCACAGTAAGAACTAAGAATAACCAGTGTGGTGTACTGGATAGAGTCATGGAGTAACAAGAGTCAGGAGACCCAGATTTGTCATGGAAACTCACTTGGGGGGGGAGTGGAAATGGTAAAACCACTCTGTAAACACCTCTTTTACCTTGAAAATCCTATTAGGATCACTAAGTCAGTTCTGACTTGACAACAAATAAGGACTAACAAAACTGTTTCAGTGTCAGCTTTCGTGGATCAAAATGTCCTCTTGATTAGTGCCAAATTAGAGTACAGAAGAACTGTATCCTAAATCAGATTTGCCCTGACCTTTTGGCATTCTTCTGAAGAAAATGCCAGGGTTCCACTTGTATACCAAGTGGTCAATTTACGTGTTCAAACAAGTATTTTTAAATACTTTTCTTCAGCATACAAGTACTATGATTTGCATTTTGAAATATTATGCAGAATACCTAATTTTAGGAACAATTATGGTACTATTGAAAAAGCTGTGATTTTATTAATATGGCTAGAGTTTAAAGTTTATACGGCAAAATATAAACATGCAATGTGAAATGGCAGATGCAATATTAAGAAATCAGAAAGAAGCAGATGTCTTTTACACGTAAAAGGTAGCAAGGAACAAGCTATGTCATCATGTGTCCAGGAAATTATATCATATAGGAAATTATTAAAATATATATTAGATTGCAACTGTTTGTCCTCTAACTATGGAGTAAGAGTCACAATAAATTTAATCTAGTTTACCTCTAAGTGGATATATATAAGCTTACACTGTTAGTTTCTCACTGTTGCTGTTAGAAACAGAAGTAGTACATTAGGTTGAGAGAAAGATCACTGATTTACTACCATATCCTTACTTTTACTTTTTTATCCGCGGAACAAGTTGCAACAAATCTGTCATCTGCTGAAAAAGCACAACACAACACTTCATCATCATGAGCTTTTACTTCCAGAAGTTTCTCTCCACTTTCAGCTTTAAATATCTAAAAATACAACATAGGAAGTGCAAGAAATTATACATTAAGTCTGAACTACTTTAAAATTACACAAAGGCTGAAATTCTGTTGCTTATTGTAGTAAGTTCAACTACCCCACTGAGTCTAGTCATTCAGCATGCATTAGTGTGGCATACTATTCCAAGCAAGAGGATTTTGGCCTCCGTGTCATCTATATAACTGAGTTTTTACTATTCAAAATATGGAAGAGAAATTGACTTTCCAATAAGTCTTGGCATTGTTCAATAAACATGTGCAAACTCAACAGAGGTTTATATAAGATGATGCATGCTTATCAATCAATAGATTTGAACAGGGGGAGAATGAAGTTTATAATAAAGAGAAAAATCTGGTAATACACATAAGGCAGCAAACTATTTGAAGAAAATTATATGGAAGCTTACTGTAAGTTGGGAGGCTGCAACTGATAACACCTTTCATTTAAGCAAAATTAATATCAAGTATTAAAAAAAAGAGGTGAGAAAAACAACCAGAGCTTACAGGGAGGTTTTCAATTCTGACCCCCACCCGACCACTGATTGGTTCTTTTAAAAGGACAGTAAAAAATGTCATTTCCAGAAAAGTAGCCATATTGGTCTATTGCAGCAAAAAAAGAATCTTGTAGAACAGGTGTGGGGTTGTTTTTTTAGTAGCATGAGCTTCAATAGCTGTTGCTCATTTCATAAACTAGTCTTTTAAAGATTCTGGTGTTTTTCAACAAAAAGGTTCTTGGTTGCTTTTCAAATATCATGCCACATGAAATGTTTTTTAAATGTATTTGTACACCTGCTGAAATCCTGTTGCACTGCTATGCAAATGGTGTAAGGTTTGGAGGCATGTTGCTTGAAGGTAAGAAATCTCTAGAAATTATCTGTTGTATACTGAGTCGGTGCATACTGCGTCATGTTACTCACTGTGTAGTAGATAAGTTCTACAGAGGTTTCCTAACTTCTGGCAATTTGCCTCTAGAGGTTGTCTTTTGTGTAACAGTGCAACAAGATTTCAGCTACTGCATTGTACTGATCTGTAGCACACACACATTTGAAAGTGATTAAGATCCTGTAGTTTTAAGTTTTATGCAAAGTATCAGATAATCTATGGATGACAGCATCAAAGGAAAAAAGCAGCAGAATAATGATTAACAAATTTACGTGTTTAGATGAAACACTGAATTATAGTTTCATATTTTAAGAATGAGCCAGTCTCTGACTCTTTTATTTTCCCAGTCTCCACAAATGAGGGTAGGAGACTAAACATGTCTGTTTATAATTTGCATCTAAATATACCAAAAACCAAAAAGCTGAAATTGGATGAAACGTCAAATTAAGATTTGCTCCAAATAAGAAGAGACTGTGAGAAATAAAACATGAGCGTGTAGCTCATTCATATAATCCAGATTGTGATTTGGAAAATGATCTATGAGAACCACAAACATGCATTACTGTTTCATTAAGGATGCTTTCAAACAGATGGTCTAACCAGCAGAAATAATATTGTGTAATTATTGTGTTTTCCCCTTTCTAATGGGATATTGTGTGGAAAGAAAAAGAACCTCTTGGGGAAGGGAGGAAAGAGCAATGCATAAAAATATACGCTGACAAAATCTGAACTCCTGGAAAAATTTTGAATTAAAGAGGGTCATTGCATGGCAAAAGGTTTATTTAGAAGCAGCCTCTGCAAGATTCTGTATTTTTAGATATATTCTGTATCCTAGGGACACCATACAATTGTCAATGACTTTTTCCCTAATGTGCTGACATAATATACATATCACACCTGCAATGTTTTATCTGCTCCACATGAAGCTATTCTCTGTCTGTCCTGGGAAAAACAAGCATGGTAAACAGCATCTGTATGAGGACGCACAACCAGACGATACATGTTCTTTATGGATTTTTTATTTCTGCATTACAGAAAAATAAAAAGAGCAGTGTTTCAATTAGCATGAACTAATCTCTGAACGTATTAAAATAGTTGACAACTCCTTACTAAGTTCTATAATTTAAACTGCATAGAATACTGTAAGGACATTCAACAGTTCAGATCTTTTCTGCTTAATAGCAATACTGAAACTATCTTGTATGCATATTTGAAACAGGAGACATAAATAAAAGTCATACTACAAAAAGACAAAATACTTTGCAACTTTCTGTGCCAGTTAAACGTTGAATACCCTAAAAGTCTAAAGCCAATTAGTGTATGATTTTTTGGAAAGTTTCAGCTTTGCTACAAAAGAAATCCCATCTTGCTTGTTCAAACACATAATCAAATATGAAAACTATTTCTCGCTGTGAAATCCAAAGAGCAGTTTCAAAGACTCTTTCTCCATGTGCCAATCTCTTTGGCTCATTCCATCATTATCTATAGATTTCACTAAGTACTCTGTTAATTACTAATAAAAAAAATGATGGTTTTCAAAACAGAATGCGACTTGTCTGCTTGGTCCCTCTTGGAATCTGAGCATTCCCTTGTGGCTACTGAATGTGCAACAAAAAGTCACCTAAAATGAATAAAGAATGAAGACAAAATATACATTTCTTCACAGTGCCTCCTTTCTGTCAAAAACAAACCAACAAATCACACACATTCAAAATTCTAAAGCACAGAAATACGAACTTAGCCTACAGATGGCAACAAAATTCAAGTATATTTGCAGGACTCATTATGGAGTCCTGTAAATTGATCTGTTAGCCAGTAAATAATTTCATTAAACAAGAGAGAGCACATCAGTAAAGTGAAGAACAAAGACAAAATTCTTTCCCGTCTTTGTCAAGTAGTGCTGTGTACCTAGCACTACTAAGCAAGGCAGCCACTCTTACCACCACAACTACCAAATTAATTTCAGCCCCCCAGATGAAGCAGGGACTAAGTATCTCAAACATATGGAACATTATACAGAATGGGAACACACTCAGAACGTTCTACCTCCATATAAAAGCATTAGGAAAAACAGTTTGCTTTAGAAGCATGTAAGAAGTAAAGTCTGTGTACAGAATGATGCTTTTTATCTTTTCCTCCAAAGCTGCTTCTCCACCATGCTTTGGAAATTGTTTTTTATTTTAATGATCATTAAAACTCATTAAAACTATTAAAATTCAGAATATATAATCTTCTGCTGCACGTTTGTAAGCAGGAACTATTATTCACTGCAGTTAGATCGGATTAAACAAAAAGCATGTTGAAGTATTTTTTAACATTTTAAATATTTTGGATAGAAATGTTTTGCACAATCTGCTTACATCCATTCCACATAAAAGGATCCTTTATTCAGTTCTTGCAGAGCTTTTAGTTTTGCTTGTCGATATACTTCTGAGCTTTCTGGCTGACATAGTCCAAGTTGTACAATGTCTAGGGATGGCTGCCGCCCAAGGAGATGTCCATTTAAAGACAGAAATTCATGGAAGTTCTCACGTACAATAGTATCCTATAAACAAGAAACATTCCATCATAAAAATAAGAGGCGTCAAGAATACTGTGTCTGTTCTAGTAGCGTGTGCATTGGGTAACAGGAATACCCGTGTTGGGAAGGAGACCAAACTGGATAGAGTCTCTTTGTATATTGACAGAAGTTACCCTTCTCTCTGCCTTTCTTCTCTAATTGCCTGCAATTCCTTGGGAACAGAATTGTGTTCATATTTTGTTTGCCAGCAGGGGAAAAAACTTTAATCATGTACAGTGAGAGTGATGCATAATTATAATCTATACTGTAACATACATTAATTAAAATCAGGTAATGTTAATACTGATGGAACATTAGTGGAGCTTATGAAAAGGTAAACAAGGCAGTAATTAAGAATGCATGAAATGTACATAACTAGGAGAGGCCTTGCTCTCAGTCCTACAACCTTCACACATGCATTCAGTGGGGACATAGGACAGGACCTTTTCCATCGCTGCTCCCAGACTCTGGAACTCCCTCCCCATCTTTACTGTCCTTCTGCAAGCAGACAAAGACCTTTCTCTTTAGGCAAGCTTTCCCTGAGTGAATGCCTGCCAAGTGAGGTATTTAAAATGGATTGTTATACGTTACTGGAGTGAAAGCATTTTGGTGTTGCTTATGTTTTTTGGTATTGTATTCACTGATCCTTTTAATATTGTATACTCATTGTTACTAATCTTAAATAGCATCTTTTAATAGTTGTAAGCCATCTTAAGTCCTTTTTAAGGAGAAAGGCAGGTGAAAAATATTTTTTTAAATAAATATTTCTTATGTTTCCATTTCCTTTATATCAGTAATGAATTACAATCAAGATATGTTGTTTGTCTTACCATCTAGAAGCACAGGTCTTCAAATATTACTTGTTCCTCATCATCCAATTTTCAGAATATTAAATATATAAAACCTTGAATGAGCTACCAGATCAAAATTATCTGCATTTAGAAGTAAATAATCCCTACCCCTTCTTTTTTCCTGAACTGAAGCAGAATTCATGTTAAATGTGGTTGCCCATTATCACACCATACCTTCTGATCTAGTATGTGACTGTATTCAACATACTCATGAATCAAATGAGCAGGTCCTACCAATTCTGTTTTGGTTTTAATCCAATCTAGTGAAAACATGAGATCACTGAGTTCCTGTAAAAAAATGTAGAAGATTTGCAAAATATATTTAATGTTATTTTGAACTGTTATATTTTAATCTGCATTTTTAAAAAACTTCCTTTCTGTTGCAATTTTCTAAAACCATTTAACAAAGTCACAGGATATGGATGTTATACATTCTTTCAGTGTTCAAATGTGTTATAACAGAACAACTTTTGGGGATTGATTCTCTCAATCATCCTAAATCTTAAACAAAAAGATTCCTCGCATGCTATAAGAATTTTCATAGAATCTAGGAAAACTGTGGCTATCCAATTTACCATGTCCTTACACCATATGAGAACAGTAATCTCAACCTTTCATATTTGATCAAAAGAGAAAACATTTTACACCAAAGAGGACAAGTGAAACAATTTGCACTTACAGAGTCAAAACATATTTTTCCATTTTATACATCTTTAAAAATGTTCCTGATTTAAAAAAAAATTAAGATCCGACAAAAGCAATCCATCCTTACATGCAGAAGTGAACAAAGACTGAAGATGTACATCAGCGTAAACTTACATTTTGCATGTTGGCACTTGCCATATGGTACGCCAGAAAATAATACCAGTAAATGCAATCTTCTTGTGTTGAAGTTGGTACATACTGTTTATAATGCTTCTTGTATTGATGAACTACTTTTTTATGTAGTGTCTATAAAATTAAACATTTAATAATTATTTACATTAGTGGTCCTTGGTCTAATACATTCATTTTACTTTGTTTAGGCTTGTTACTGAATAAAGGCAACTGAAAACATTCCATCATTACAAGTATAAAAAGAGTTTGATGATCTCAATCCTACTGAACAACAACAACAAAAGTGTGGGTTGAGAGCTAGTAGATATATATTCTAAAAAGTTTTAATGGAATTGATTATGGAGTGGAATCAGACAACCCACTCAACCATTTTCTGTGAATGTGTTTGACTAGAGGCCAAATTATCTACTATGAAAAATGTGTGAACAAATTTAGTGAATACGTATTGTTCCTTTAACAGCAATTGCCAAAGAGGGTTATAGTAATCAGGGTTGGCACCACAGTTCATGAAGAAGGGAGTTGCCCCCCTTTTCCACTACCACATTTTCTGTAAAGATCACAATCATTTCTTCAGAGCATCCAGGGAGCTCTTTTCCCATTTCAGTATTGGATGCAGCTTGTTTGTTTGTTTTTAAAAGGATGAATGAGCAAACACAGAAGGCTCCAACACTCAAAGAAAAACATAAAAAAACATTTATGTCAGTGGGACCTTCTAAGTATATATGAAACCACTGAACTGTGTTTTACATTTTTTTAAATTTCACAGGTATTTTAGAACCATTTCCCAATCTTTCTTTCTATAAATATTTTAACAAAGTACTCCAAAATCACGCTTCAATATACAACACCATTTATATTTATTAAAGGTCATCCTTTAATAAATAAAGGTCAAATTTTTGAGCATTTTGGAAAAATTAAGAAAACAATACTTTATATACTTGATTTTTAGCCAGTACAAAATGATTCCCTACAGTGGTTCCTTCCTCTTTGCACAGTACCAGGAAACAGGCAATCTATTGTGTAATACAAGAAATGAAATTATATTACAGTACTTTATTTAACCATTTCATAGAATGCAATACCAAATAGCCGCCTAGAGTGGTCCTATGTGATTCAGATAGGCGGGATATAAATTAAATAAATAAATAAATAAATACAGTGGGGTCTTGACTTGAGAACTTAATCCGTATTGGAAGGCGGGCAATCTATTGTGTAATACAAGAAATTAAATTATATTACAGTACTTTATTTAACCATTTCCTAGAATGCAATACCAAAATAGTTTTAAAAGCTGAATATTAAACTAATAGGCACAGATACAAGTCTGTTTATACTAACATGGTGTAGTAAAAAGATTTTTTATATTGGTTAAAACTATTTATATACTTTAAGATGCTTGATAAATCACTGTTAGAAATTTAAAAGCATACTTGAAGCTGACCATGATTCTTCTCAGTCAGAAAATCAAGCTGAAGATCATGTAAATAATAATGGAACGATTTCCCATTCCGATCACAGAATAAGAGAGATTTGTTAATGAATTCTTGCAGTATGTCCTCAACTTCTTCTGTCTCCATATCCCAAAGAATACAGAATACCTAAAATGAATTTGGAAAGAAAGATTGCTCGACTGACTAATACTTTTGTTAGCTATCTTAAAAAGCAAATTAATATAATCCACAGGCAAGTATAGAGGGACAAGTTCACTGTTTCTGTTGATTGGGTGACATTCAATGAAGCATTCACTCATTCAACAATGAAATCTTTCTCCACTGCCCTCCCCTGCACAGACCTGTTTTCCCCTCAATGTTTTTCCTGAGGGCCAAGCGATCTTCTGGAAAGGTCAGGGTTGAAGGAAGTTACTTGAAGAAATGCAGCTGCTGCATGGACAACTATTTGTAAAAAATGCCTAGGTTGAACGCTACAGATCCCTGCCTCAAATTCCAGGCTTTTTCTGAGGATTCCGCCCCCGCCCACCAGTCCTCAGGAAGAGCTTTCTAGCGTCTGAAGGGAGCCAAAGTGAAAGACAGAACTTTCCTTATGTGACCATACTTGTGCAATCACTTCATACTACATACAGTGGTTCAGTCACAGTGAATGATAGAGAAGTGCACACCAGCACTCACCGCGTTATAAAGTCTTACCAAATCATTTAGAACACATATAGTTAAAGTTGCCAACTCACATACAACCAGTAAAATCCAGGACATATGGTCCATGGACATATGAAAAGTTATACACATGGAAAGGTTGAATTAAGAAGGCTATACAACACATGAATAGCCTTTTGCTAGGACTGTCATGTTTTGAACTGAAGACATTCTGTTATTGGGCTGAATCAGAAAAATAATACTGAACTAGTTGTCAATAAATGGATCAGTCCATTAAAAAAAGAAACTCCAATAATTTCATAAGGAGGAACCTGCTGTACATGTGTAGTACTACTCTTTCATATGTGCAAAATATGTGGTGAGAGATTTAGGGGCATGCAACAGTACACACAGATTAGTCTCATTTTCCAGAGGATAGAATTAAGGATCTTCTTGTTCCCTTCTCAGTGCTAACAAAAGAAATCACCAGCTGCTGGCTCTCTGAACAGTAATGTATAATCAAGCCCTGAGTAAAGCCAGTATCATCTTATTTATTTTTCATAATAAAGAAAAAAACATTTTAAAGAACACTTTCTAAATTATAAATCAGTTAATGATTGTGATTACTGAGATTCTCCATTTACAAAAAAAAATCAAGACAATGGTAAATCAGTATAGAACAGAATCTCAACAGTGAATATCACAACCTAAAGGTAACCTTACTTGTACTGTACGTAAAGCTGCTAAACATTAATTATGCTTCTTAGACCATTTCCATTCAGAGGAGTGAAAAGAATAACAGGAAATTTCTTAACCAACAGTGAGGAAAAGAAAAGAAAACTGTGAATGACTATAAGAAAAAATATGGATGCCTGACGTAACCTGTAGAAATGGTTGGTGCTTTTAAAGGCATAGATACCCAGTGGTTGTTGTAGTTATGTGCCGCCAAGTCACTTGTGATTTATGGTAACTATGAAATGATGACCTCCAAAAGATCCAATAACAGCCTCATGAGCTCTTTGAAGCTGACATATTTCAGCCCATTTTTATTAGAGTTTCCTATTTTGCTACTGTCTCCTGCCTTCCACTTTTTTCAAGTATTATTTCTTTTTCCTGCAACTCTTGCCTTTTCATGATACACCTAAAATAGTTTAATCATTTTGATTTGTAGAGAGAATTCAGGTTAGATTAGATCTAGAACCCATTTACTGTATTTGTCTTTCTGGTGGTTCATGGCATCTGTAGAGCTTTCTTCAAACACCTCATTTCAAATATGTGGTCCTTTCGGACCAGATAGGCAGGATATAAATCAAATAAATAAATAATAAATAAATAAATAAGTTGACTTTTTTTCTTGTCAAGTTTCTTCATTGTCCAGTTTTCACTTCTTACACAGTTATCCAAAATACATACATATGAACTTGTCCTTTGTCTCCAACAACATATTCTTAAACTTAAAAGTTCTCTTCTAATTCCTTCTTAGCTGCCCTTTCAAGTCTCAGTCTTCTGATTTCTTGGCCACAGTCTTCAATTTGCTGAATGGTTGAGCCAATGTATAGAAGATTTTTAACATTTTTAATGTATTTATTGCCAACATTAATGTTATACCATTCTTCTGTTGTTACAATTTTTGTCTGATTCTGCATTTCTTCTTTAACCTTCATTAGCAATTGCTTCGGAGCACTGCAATCTGCCAACAATATGGTGTCATCTCTGTACCCTATAAAATCTTGAACACTCCTTTCCTCACATTGGAAAAACTGTGGTTGCTTTTACAAAATCTACAAATTTTAGTGAGCATTTTCATGAAAATGCAAGCCTGAGCTGGACTGCACAACAGGACATTTAAAATAAACAGTATGATTTAATTCAGTATATAGCATTGTTTTAAATGTTGCATTTAATCCAAGCTGGTACAGCCCAGTGGGTTGTACTGCCTGATGAAACACACTTGACTGTACATCTGAATCTCTGCTGCGCCTCCCGGGATAGAGTCAGCCAAGATCACATGGAGCATGTGTAGCTGACAGTATTGTGTGCCGTGCTATCTCTGTGGCCTTGTACAAACTGCACACTATAAAGTGGAAGTAGAGAACCACTTTTAGGTACATGCTTCACTCCTGGAAAATCCTGGGAGGGTTACCTTAAGCAAGCAAGAATCAACTTGAGGCAAATAATTAAAATTATAAGTTATTCAAAGAAAACTCATACGTAAGTAAGCAATTATCACATTATAAACCTATATCCCTTTAGATTGAAATATGCATTATAGGGCAGCCTTGATTTTAAGCATAGGCACAACAGTTGCTATTTCTAAGAAACAGGCACTTACATGTCAGTCCTCTGAGTTGGCAACGATTTATTAAGGGTCCAGAGACAATAAACCACAATTGCAATATCACTAAAATAAAAACTCTAGAAGGTTTTCCTAACAATTGAGGGGACCCTCAGGAAAAGTCTGGTATGTGGGATCTGTGGAAGAAGTATAGTCAAGGGTGGCCCAGTCTTAAATATGCTCATCATAAGGATGTACAAGTGGGTCTGCACAGCTTGGAAGAGTATGTTTTTATAAAACCGGATTTCTGCAAAGCACCACAGTCCCCTGCTATTTTTTAATCAGTTACAATGGTGTCATGGTTTCCATTCTAACCTACTTAAAAATCAGAATTGCCTTAAAATGGATCTTACCTTTGAAGGCACTTTAACATCCTTCTGAAGGACTGAAAGATCTCTGTAATAGTCTTTAAAATTTTCTGGCAACATCTCAACACTGATAGACATTGCTTCATCAAGTGCTTCATAATCATAAGATGATGATTTCCTTATTCTTTTGAACTGTTTGTTTTGAAGTTGTTTAAGGTAATATTCCCAGCGATTGGGGAAGTCTCGTAATAATGCTCCAATCAAAGACACTACAAGAGGAGAACCTAGAATGTAAGAATTAATAGTTTAAAATATTAAATGACAATTTTAAAAATTGGTCATCATTTTGAAGTCATTATTAAGTAAAGCAAAGACTAACTTTCTTTCTGTGAAAAGTGTCAAAAGAGAAGAACAGGAATAGAGTAAAAAACTCACAAATTAAAAGATTTATATTAATATATAAGGACCAAACCCCTTAAATCAGTTTATCCCCATAAATGATACAGCACCACTTGCAATCTAAGGACTATGGGGTGACTTTAAATCTTCAGGCATACTATGTCTTTACAGGAGTGGCTTCACAGGTGGCTTCCCTAGTTAACATTTGCATCCTTTTCTCTGCTGGTAATAGGTCTCGAAGATGTAAAGGAACTAAATGAAGGTTACAGGTGCCAGGTTGGACAGAGGGGAGAAAAAGAGTATCAAGTGTGGAGATGGTGAGGGCAGGGAGATTATTGGCATGAACACAAAGGGATGGGAAAGAAAATTCCTCCCTCCCATGTTTCTAGTTAGTAGATTACTGGATACCGATTTCAGGAGAGTGTGAGCATATCCATTAAAAGCAAACCTAAATGGAAAGGAGAGCAAGACAACATTCATAAGGAAATGTAACCATGTAATTTTCAAAAATTAAAAATGCCAAATTGCTCTATGTCTAAATGATAAATTTAAAACAGAATTAAAAATAGCTAAACCTTCAAACTTCTGCAATTGTACAGATATTTGTTGAAACCTACTATGCTTTTTGACAGAGAATATCATAAATTAAATGAAATTTCTTACCTTTGCATTCTCTTACAATACTATCAGCTTTTTCTGGCAACTCAGTTATTTCCATGTTAACAAATAAGGATAATATTTCAAGTGCCTTTTCATGTGTTAGTCCACTTTCCACAGGAACTTTATATTTTTTGCCTGGATATAGAGTTAAGATTCGAAGTGTGAAATAAAATGTTTCAATTTGATGCATACTACAGGTGAATTTATGTAGCTGTTATACTTTAGTACACCAAATTTAACCAAGCTTGGTTAAAAAAAGACTGTACCCTTATATGTAGTCCTCTTAAGATAGTTTCAAGCTAGCATTCATATGATAATCAGTCAACTTTAAAAGAGCTATATTATCCACTTGTTTTAAATGCAGATATCTTGACCTGTGGCTTTGTGTAAGCACAAAATGTACATGAAAATATTTACATGTAGAGATGGGAATTGCAAAAAAGGTGTTTTGTTTATCAAAACCCCTCCCAAAAACAAATCAGTTTACAGTTTGTTTTTCAGTTTCATGTCAGAGGACTGCCTGCCCCCCCCACTGC